TTTTTTTCTAATTCTGATAGCACGACTAATTAATTGTAAATAGTAATTATATAATTATATAATTAATTTTAATGTGATCTACATTTAACTTTTACAAAAGGAAAATCTTTTTAATTCTTTTTCTAAAGCTTTTCCTTAAGTAGAATTTATTATAATGACTCATGAAGTGCTTCAAAATGTTTCAGAATCAATATATTGGCTGTCTCGTTCTGCGTAAAAGTTAAAATGATGATAATTTAAATCTATAAAATAAAAATCATGAAAAATTAACTTATATTAAGCAAAATATAGATATTAAATAGATAGCTAAAAAAAAACAAAATTTTGAGAAAAAACGAGGCTTATGTTTTTTTTCTTAAAAAACGTATTTTATGAAAAAAAAAAACAATTTGGTTTTTTTTCTATTTACATCTCTAATTGTAATGATAACGTATTGATAACGTACAATATTTTTGACAGGTATCGATGTGGAACAGGTGACGATAGTGGTGAATTTCGATTTGCCGATGGATCAGAAGCGACAAGCCGATTGTGAGACATACTTGCATAGAATTGGCAGAACAGGACGATTTGGCAAGTCAGGGATTGCCATTAATTTAATTGACTCGGAGCACGCGATGCAGTTGTGCAAGGATATAGAAAGACATTTTGGCAAGAAGATTCATTATCTCGACGCGGAAGATGCGGATGAAATCGAAAAAATCGGAGCTTAAATAAAATAAGGCTTTTTATTATGGAAATGAATGTATCTTAGGCTTTAATATAATATTTTTTAAAGCGAACTTCTCTTTGTATTTTGAATATAAAATGAAATATTTCTTTTCCAACCGTGCAACTATTACGTAGTTATATATTAGAAAACCATTTTTCTTTTGTTTTATATTTCTTTCGCGGCTGTTTTATAATGCTTTCACTGAATCAAAATACGTAAATCAAAATTGGAGATATTTGTTTATGTTTACGTGAATTCAAGATTGGAAATATTTTTATGTTGCGTATGCCGAATATGCACGCATATGCATGTATACTGATCTCTATTCAGCTGCATTGAGATTCCGTTCGACTTTGAATTTCATTTCCTGAAAAAAATTGCGGAATTTTTTTTTATATAATTTTATTTATAGTCAAAAACGTACTTGATGTACATACTTAATGCTGTAAAATAATTTATGCAACAGGTTATGTTAAAAAAATTAAAGATATTTTATGTATGTGATCAATATGGGAAACAAACAAGAAAAAGAGCATAATACGTGAATATTTTTTTATTACATTTGTCCCCGTAAGTAACCGCGCGTAATGTGTGATTTGATCAGCGTAAATAATTTTAGTTTCAGAAAAGAGCTGTTTTGAAGCTCCATAAGCGTATTCTGAAAATATAAATGATGCGATATATTTACGATGATCGTGGTGGAATAGGCCTCGAATGAGATGGTAACAGCAGCAACTTTCTTTACATTGTGATTAAAGAAATTGTTTTTAGATATTTATACCTTCATTACGTTTCAGTGATTGTTTCAAGACAAATACGACACAATAATGTAATAATATATATATATATATATATATATCTATTCCAAATAAAACTTTTCTCTCTGTACTTATCGATATTCTTAATTCATTTATTCATTTATTATAATAGATCGTATGAAGTACGGCGATATGGAGAGTTAAATTGTAATTTAAACATACGTTTTTATTCAGACGGAAAATAAATTCAACAATTACAAAATTATGAAAGCATAAGTAATTAACCCTTTTCACAATTAATACGCACATTCATTTTTACATTTGCATCTTCGACGCGAATGAGACGACTATAAAAACTAGAAAGCTGTATAAAGTATTGAACAGTTTATTTTTGTAACTGGGTTTCGTGAAACACAATTTGGAATATCGGGAATACAAAATGATGGACAGAATAAATCGGTTTAAAAATTCTTATCGTGTAATCGATTGAATTGCCAATTCATCGCAATTCCACATTCTGTATAAACACGTTAACAAGTTCGTTTCTACGTAGTAACCGTTTCTTCCTTTTTACATTATTAAATGCATTTGTATTTGAAACATTCGTGCACGCGAGTACCGTGAGTTTATTGAATGAAATAAAAGCGAGCGATCTGCGCGTGGATTCATAACAATGTTTACAGATTCGCAAAACAAAACGAAGTCGGGGAGGGAAGGGAGGGAAACGGCGCGTTTCGTAACGACTTCACACTACACCAGTGGTAATCTTATCGCTCGTAATGCTTCAAAGTACAAATTATAGGAGAGACTGCGTACGGATATATCTCCCTCTATTCCGTTCGAACGGAATCGATGCTTGGAATCTAACTAATTGAACAATGTTGTGCGCGGCACACAATCGCGTATACATCATATACGAACCAGATCGTGACACACGGGCTGTCTTTTTTTTCTCTCAGTCTTCGTGCGTTTCTCTCTTTACATCATGCCGCCCATGCCGCCCATACCGCCCATTCCACCCATTCCACCCATACCGCCCATACCACCCATCGGCGGCTGCGACTCCTCCTTGGGTATCTCGGTGACGACAGCTTCCGCCGTCGTCAGCAACGACGCGACCCCGGCGGCGTCCGTGAGCGCCGTGCGTACGACCTTCGTGGGATCGATGATGCCCTTCTCGATCATGTCGACGTATTCGTTTCTCAGGGCGTCGTAACCGAGCTTGCCCTCGCTCACTTTGGCCACCACGACGCTGGCGTCGACGCCGGCGTTCTGCGCGATCTGCAGACATGGCATACGCAGGGCGTTCGCCACGATCTTGATCCCGGTCTCCTGATCGCCGTTCACGGCCTTGAGCTGCTCGAGCATCGGTATGCATCTCAGCAACGCGGTGCCACCTGCAAGAGAAGACGAAATGTTACGGTTTACACGTGTTGTACACACGCGGGAAAACGGGAGCTAGCGAAGATTCCAAGATTCACCTCCGGGAACGATTCCCTCCTCGACGGCGGCGCGAGTGGCGTTGAGCGCGTCGTGCACACGGTCTTTTTTCTCGTTAACCTCCACCTCGCTGCTGCCACCGACTCGCAGGACGGCGACGCCAGACGCTAACCTCGCCAAACGTTCCTGCAGCTTCTCCTTCTCGTAGTCGGACGTGGTGTTTTCGATTTGATCCCTGATCTGATCAGCTCTCCTATCGATATCGGCCTTCTTTCCCTTGCCTTTCAAAATGAGAGTGTCGTCCTTTGTAATAATGACCTCTCCCACCTGGCCCAAGTCGCTTAGCTAGGAAAAAAAAGTATTACGTTCATTATAATACTAAAGACATGTATTTTTGGTTCATAGAACAGTGCTTATTAAGCAAAAGATTCAGATTTACCATTCCCAGTCTTGCTATTTCATTATTTCGGTAGAACAGATATTTTTCTGTTATTATTGAGATTAAAATTTTTAACATAAACAAGATCAAAATTATTTATATATGAAGTCAACTTTTCAATTAAACTATTTCAACTGAAGTAACACGTGATCTATGGCTGAGAGCGATCGACTCGTAGTCGGTAGTTTTCGAATTCAATCATCTCATCTCACCTCATTCTCTATTTCATATGCCTTTTAGAGCAGAGCGGTGAATAGATTAAGTAGAAAAAACGAGATAAAAACAAAAAAAAAACAAAGATAGAAGTAACAAATGTAAATATGGTGAAATGTAAAAAGGAAGTAAAGCAATGTAAATAATGTAAAGTGTAAAAATGTAAAGGGGTAGAAATGTAATGCGAAAATGTAAAATGTGTTCAGTAAGAGAGGAGTAGAAGAGTAAGGAATAGAGTTAGGAAAGGTGTGGAAGATATTTTTTGTAAACCAAGTCCTTTTCTTGGCTAATTTATGTAAAGCTGAAGTGAATAAATTTCTATTCTATTCTATATGCCTTTTAGAGATTTATTGGAGAGTTGTGAAGAAATGTAATAGTGAATACTGTAAATGATGAGTAATTTTCGGAAACAATGAAATATGCACTCAAAAATTACTATCGGGTTGGACACTGATATTTTACCTGGACGTCTTCCAATTTGATAAGATTGGCGTCATCGCCGAACACAATGCCACCGGTGGATATCGCCATATCCTGAAGAGTGGCTTTCCTATTGTCACCGAAACCGGGGGCTTTGACCGCAACCACTTGCAGCCCGATTTTCAAACGGTTAACGACGAGGGTCGACAGCGCCTCGCCGTCCACATCCTCGGCGATTATGACGAGGGATTTGCGCTGCGAGTTCGCCAGTTCCAAAGCGGGTATGATGGTCTGAACGGTGGAGATCTTCTTCTCGCTGAAGAGAATGAGCGCGTCCTGGTACTCGACTTTGGCGCCTTTACTCGAGTTGATGAAGTACGGCGAGATGTAGCCTCTGTCGAACTTCAACCCCTCTATGACTTCCAACTCATCCGTGAGCGTTTTGCCGTCTTTCACGGTGATCACGCCTTCTTTCCCGACCTTCTTCATGGCGTCCGAGATCAGGTTGCCAATTGCTTGGTCGCCGTTGGCGGATATCGTTGCCACTTGGGCGATTTCCTCGGGCGTCGTGACAGGTTTGCTCAGCGTTTTCAATTCATCTTTGACTCTGTCCACCGCTAACATTACACCTACAAAACAACAGATTGTTTTAATATTATCTCTCGTAGAAATATTCATAATTCAGGGTTGGGTAAGTTAATATACATTTTTTTTACTAAGTTAAGTTAAAGTTAACAGTCTAAAACAGTTTAACTTAGTTAAGATACAAGTTAGTCCGTAATAAAATTGAGTTAAAAGTTAAGAAATAAAAAGTAATTGAAAAGTTAAAGTTAAATTGTTTTCATTTTATAATTTTAGGGTTTCTAAATAAAGTTTCTAAATAAGGTATACATTTGTTACACTTATTTCTGTCGAGCCGCGGAAAGAGGACCGATTTCGAAGGACTTCTTTCAACGTGATTTAATAAACAAGGTCTGCAGAAGGTCTGCAAACAGTAATTCCTTTCCGCGATCGGGCTATATTTATTATATTATTACAATAATTGCCTTAATGTGTGATCTCAATTTTGAGTTTGAAGACGCTAAGATACGTATTTTATTTTGGGTTTACAAGCACTAAAAATGATCTAACTTTGAGAAAGTTAGATCAAAAGTTAATAATTACCGATAAAATGTAACTAAATTAAGTTAAAAGTTAAGAGTCTAAAATGTACTAAGTTAAGTTAAATTTATTTAACTTTTTAACTTAACTTTTATCTTTTGAACTAGGCACTACCAAACATAGACTACTCTCTTGATTTATCTCATAGCTTAGGTCAAAGTTCAACATTTCCTAAGACTTTCTGAGATTTTATATATATATATGAACTGTTTGTTGTATAAATTGACACACTCACCTCGTCTGATTTCAATGGGATTGGCACCTTTGCTGATCTTCTCGAATCCCTCTTTGGCTATCGCTCTAGCTAATATGGTCGCGGTTGTCGTGCCATCTCCAGCCTCCTCATTGGTATTGTTAGCTACATCCTGCACCAACTTGGCTCCGATATTCTGAAACTTGTCCTTCAGCTCGATGCCCTTCGCCACGGTCACGCCGTCCTTCGTGATCTTTGGGCTTCCCCAGCTCTGCTCCAGAATAACGTTACGTCCTTTAGGGCCCATCGTGACGGCGACGGCGTCTGCAAGAATATCCACGCCTTGCAGCATCAGGGCACGAACCTCCGGCCCAAAACGTACGTCTTTGGCATAAGTGCGCACCTGCAGCTGGCGCAGGGCGGCTCCTCTCAACAGGGTAGGTAGTCTATGCATCTGTAAAAATATATATATATATATTGTTACATTACTTAAAGATATAAAGACGTTGTATACATTACTCAAAGATAAATTATCCTTTAGTAATGCATACTTAATCCTAAAAATAACGTCTGATGCAATCGTCAAACATTCTTTCAGTTCTTTCCTTCGATTCAAAGGAAAAAATTCATTTAACTTTTAAAGCATATCTAAGAACAAATAATAATTAAGAAATAGAAATAAATAATTAACGGCAAGTACACATCCTACTCCGAATCTTGTGAATAATAAAATGCAAGAAATTATAAAAATTCTAGGTTTAGCTCTTTCATCATTCCCTAAACGTTACTTGTAAATACGAATATTTCGCAATTTAATGTCTCGTTGGGAATACTGAAAAATTCGCGTGAGAGCGGTTTATCACGGAGTTGATGATCCTCGATAGTGAGCTCTCTGGAACGTGGTTATGTAAAGTCCCGCGTGGCGCGGCGATTAAAGGTTAACATTCAGCGGGAGAAATTATCGCGGGATTTGACTGAAAATCACTCGCTCAACCGGCTTAACAGCGTACTCTCTCGCGCGCGAATTATTTGTACAGAAGAGAAGAAGCTATCCCGCGGATGCTCGCGAAGATCACGTGCGAAGATATCCTCCGGCCGGGCCGGCTAAAAAACTTCGCCCCGGCGAGGTTTCTCGAATTTTCCGGAAGAAACACGTGGCGCAGATTCGCGGCTCGATTGCTTCACCTTGGATCCTCGAGGGAGATTTTTTTAGACGAGACGATCGACAGTGCCGGCAGTCGGGAGCTGTGCGAGCTGAAGATCGACACGGCGTGATCGAACGTTGTCCTCACAGATAGAAGACGAGTGAAACGAGAACTGAGAAGAAGAATGTGCGATATCACATGGGTGCTGCAATGGGGACAGGGGAGGCGGAGAGATTTTTCACGCGTGCGCGGCGGTAGTTCTCAGTAGCGTATAGATTGAGGCACACCACAGGTGTATTTTTATAAATTTTATATTCAAGATCATTTTAAGTCCGGTCGGTGGCTCCAAATGAAAATATTCTTAATCTCATAATATTTTTAACAATTTTTCATATGTTTAACGTCCGCATATAAATACTTACATTTAAGTTAAAATGTACGTATGTACAAAATGCTTGCTTTTCGTGAGTCATACTTTGTAGAATTTAATTTTAGAATTCTTGTAATTACTTAAGACTTACTTAGAAAACTTTAAAGATATGTCAGAAACTTATTAAAAAAGAAACCGCGATACATTTTCTTCATATGTTATTATATATAATATTTATATATATATATATATTTTTTTTTATATTTATATATTAATATATATTATATAATAAAAAACATAAATATTAATGTATACATATGGCACATTTTAATATATGTAATAAATTTTATTTTTATTTTGAGATACATATTTTTATAACATCATACTCAATATATTTTACATATGTATTATTGATATGAATATAATAATAAACACTAAAATTGCACCCCAAAAATTTTCTGCTGGATATTTTCAAGCACGAGTCTGTCGGATCAGTCCCGTGGTTTGCTACGCGTGTGGTAAGTATATTTGAACGGCGGGGGAAATGCCTCCGTTGTACCGTCGTTGAATGGGTGATCTTCCCTCTCCAATCCCTCCTTCTTTTCGTCTCTTGTCGAACACTACAGACTTGTTAAATTGTTAACCTTAACCGCAACATTTAATTTCAAATAGAAATAATATAGCATTCGGTATAAATTAATTTCACGTCGTATATGGAAAATTATCAGGGACAAGAGCAGAAGCGATTTTCTTCGGGGTCTAATTGGAGATTCGATTTCATCAGTTCTACGCAGCGCGGTGAAGTTGCCGCGTGGCGCGTGTTCCAGAAAGTACGATGATTCCGTGTGTGATGCAATCGGCCGGCCGCTGACGATCACATCTTTTTTTTTTACGTCCCTTCTTCCATTATCGCGTCGCTGCGGAGTATAACGATTTCTTCGCGAGGATACATGTAAAAGCAGTTAGTTGAATTTACAATTTCGGCTAAGTTCATTCAGAATGCGGGAGAATTTGTTTATCGATATCGTAGGATATACCACGTACATACGTGGAGTCGTTAAATGTCTTTAAACATTCGAATGTATGCTTTGATACGAGTGTAAATTCATGTGTCAAGGGCACTTATTAATCCCATCGGAAGAGACGATAGCGTTCTGCGTTGCGATTATCATGCCCTTTATTTTGTCACGACTAAACATATAGACTTATCATTATTTTCACGTGTTGCAAAATTTGAATTCAATAAAGAAAAAAAAGGAAGATGTCGAGTATTTGATTCTTAAGGTCACACGTACAAAACTTAGTTGTAATCATAATAAGCAGTGTGGCGAAAACAAGGGGGGGAGAAGCGAAGGGGGCGATCGCCCCTCCCCCAGAGCTTTTCAAACAAACTTCGTACATATATTGAAAAAAGTCAGTTTTAAATGAATTGAGAAAAAAAATTATTAGAGATTATTCGAGACTAAATAACGTTTACTCAATTTTTTTTTTAATAATAAAAAATATTAAAAATAACATTTACGACAATAATAACTAAATATTCACATTAATTTTGTCTTACCGCCCCTCTCTCACCAGAACAACTCTCGCTGGATTCGTCACTGATCATATAAGGCCGTAAGCAAAACGAGTCATGATCAAAATTGTGATCTTGCATTTTAGAATGTTTGATTGTGATTAGTCAATATATGCTTACGAATTTACGGTTACGATTAAAATTTTTGTACGTATAATGATGGTCTTCACTATTTAGTTTTATCTTATCTTTGTTATCTCGTGCTGTAATTTACAACGTTATCGACGCCTCGATGGAAAGTGTATGACGCATCTATAATTTTTTTTTAAAAGAATACATAATTCACCATTGTATAGTTTACACTAATACATATATATTGGTGACGAAGCTTGTCGATATCGATTTCTGCAACTTTTTTAATTGATAAAATAAATCCTAATTCAAACAGAAAAAATTAAATTTAATGCCATGTTTGTTAAAGTGATATATCAAATTTAAGATTATAATTAATTCTTGCAGCAAAATGTATGACACTGTTTCAGTGCTATAAACTTCCCATCCTATAAAGATTAATAAATTATTTTGCAAATTAATAACCATTATATATATTATATGGAAATTGTAATATTATAACTTCTCATATCTCGTATATATTTTTAAGAATTTTGTATATTTTAAATTTATAAAGAGTTGTAAAAAAACCACACAGTGTACGCATCTTAAATTTCTTCCAATTTTACAAGTTTTTATAAACAATTATAGACCGAGGAAATTCTTAAAATATTTCAGAATTCACACATAAAAAGAATTCTAGAAAAAATGCAGACTTTCTCTGCAGCATTAAACAAAATGTTAAAAGTTATTAAATTATATTAGAAATTGCAAGAGATTCTGAAATTTACGTAGAAATTCTGAAAAATTATGTAAAGGAAATCTAAGAAAATTTTTCACCAGGAATATCTAAATGCATATGTATAACTTATATATTTACGAGTACATTGTAAGAAAAATTTTGTGGACCGAGTAAGAGTATAAAGTGTGAAAATAAGAGTTTAATCGGTGCTCTCGCGAGTCTCCACACTTATATGTTACGTAATTGCTCGCGATCCTTTCGTGCTTTTCCTAGCCATAATAATCGATGCGATACACGGACTACACGCCGGAGCACGTTGGCGCGGTATGACGGAGGAGTGGGGGAGAGGGGGTGCGAAGAGGGTGTTAGCAACCACGGGGCACGGAGCGGAACCTTCGAGAATATCGTGGCGCGCGCGCGTGCGCACATCGCTCCGTCTCGTCTCGCCGCCGCAGTTTAAGGTTTAGAGGTTACACAACGTGCACGAGTTCTCGAGCGTGCGTACGCTGCCGGTTTCGCACTTCGACCGATTCGGTGATTGCGAGGGAATTGCGACCATGGTGAGTTATATATACTGAATTTCTCACTGGACTCAACATGAGAAAAAGTAGGCAGCGAGAATTCCTTCTTTTCCGTGGGAAAAATCCGCGTGGCGCGGGCATGCCGTTTCGGGGTTACTTTCCGATAACCCTCGGAAACGGCATCTCGGCACCCGTGCGACGACGCGTATCCACGCCTATTCGCTCACATGCCGCTGCATGTGCTTATCTCCGAGGATCGCGTTCGAGAACGTGTCGAGAGAAATATATGTATTTGCGCCGTTTCTCATCGCGGTCGTCGACCGGTTCGCGGCGAATCGCATTTGTTTGTGAATTCGTCGAGATAGAGAAGTAATCGGAGTATCTCGACTGCAGCTATATTACTTGTATTCTTGCCGTTCGCTCGTATTCGCAGTTAACTTAATTAAAAAACTTAATCTCCACGTGAGAAATAATCAAACATGCAGGTATCTCGATAACTTTTGCCATTGGAGAAATTCCATTGGTAACTTTCATCATCCTTTTTTCCGTCAAATTTTGGTATTTTCTCAAATTCACAAAAAAAAATGGAGATGATGGTTAAAGACACAAATCAGTCTAATTAAATTTAATCGCAAATTTTGTTAATTTAATTAATAAGTTAATTACTTTTTAATTAATAAGTTAACTGAGTCACAATTGATTTAATTTAAATGAACTTGTTAAAATTTAGTTAATTCAATTTTAATGAAGTCAAAATTGACAAATTAATTGATCTGCAATCGTATTACAAATGTTTTGTAACTTTTATTAAGTTAACTGAGTCAACATTGATTTAATTTAAATGAGCTTGTTATGCAAGTATCTCGCTAACTTTTGCTATTAGAGAAATTCCATTGGTAACTTTCATCATCACTTCTTTTTCTGTTTAATTTTGATTTTCTCAAATTCATAAAAAAAATATGGAGATGATGGTTAATATACAAATCAGTGTGGTCTAATTAAATTTAATCTCAAATTTTATAAATTAAATTAAATTAACTGAGTCAAAATTGATTTAATTTAAAAGAACTTATTAAAATTTAGTTAATTAAATTTTAATGAAGTAAAAATTGACAAATTAATTATCCCTGCAGTCGTATTACTTGTATTCTTGTTGTTCGATCATATATTCGCAGTTAACTTAATTAAAAAGCTTAATCTCCACGTGAGAAATAATCAAATATGCAGGTATGTCGCTAACTTTTGCCATTAGAGAAATTCCGTTGGTAACTATCATCTTTTTTTCTGTCAAATTTTAGTATTTTCTCAAATCTATGAAAAAAATATGGTTAACACACAAATTAGTGTGGTATAATTAAATTTAATCATAAATTTTGTAAATTTAATTAAGTTGACTGAGTCAAAATTGATTTAATTTAAATGACCTTGTTAAAATTTAGTTAATTAAATTTTCATGAAGTCAAAATTGACTAACAGATTAATTATCTCGATGTTCTTGATATATTATCAAGAAGTTGAGATATATATATACATATATATATATATATCATACATACATACATACAGAATATCAATAATTACAATAAATGTCTATGTATTTTTAGGCTGCTGCCAATGCTGTGAAGAGGCTGATTCCTCTCTTCGACAGAGTCCTTATACAAAGAGCCGAGGCAATTACCAAAACAAAAGGTGGTATTGTACTCCCCGAGAAAGCACAAGCGAAAGTCCTGCGAGGCACGGTTATAGCCACAGGTCCTGGAGCGAGAAACGATGTATGTACATGGAATATCGTCTTCATATATATATTTTTTCTAAATATTTTTTCCTCTGAATTATCTGTTAATAATTATATTATCTTTCCCTTTGTCATCAGAAAGGAGAGCATATGCCTTTAAGCATTAAGATTGGAGATGTTGTATTACTTCCTGAATATGGCGGCACGAAAGTTGAACTTGACGACAACAAGGAGTACCATCTGTTCCGCGAGTCGGATATATTAGCCAAAGTAGAGGTTTAAACACGTTGACTTTAAATTACGTTTTTCAGTTTTGTAAATGCTATAAGTTGTTTTCCTAGAACCTCATGAACTGGCAGCAAAAACTATGTACACACAGGAGTTACATATATATAATTGAAAGTTACCTAATTAACTTGATCAAAAGACCTAATTTTTTCTGTTGCTGCTAAAATGCCATTGTTTCTTACTGTACATACAATTTTCTGATAAAATAAAGCATTTATCTATTGTATTTATGTTATCGTTGATTAACACTGTTCGATAAAAAATAAACTTGACTTTTGAATGCAAGAACTAAAGTAATCATTTCCTATTTTTTTGGACGCTAAGTACAATCTTTTACCAAGTTAATTTATCATTTTTATTCAAGGATAGAAAGTTCTAACAATATATACTTATAATTTTGATTGGAATAAAACTTCTTCAAAATACAATACAATAAAACATGCCAAAATACATTAAAATAGTCCCTTTTTTGCTATTTTAATCGCAAATTTTTCAGAATTATGCCGCGGGCGTGACAAATAATTTGGCAAACAGGATTACATTAGGCGTCTAAAATGCAATGGAAAATGATTATTTTCGTTTATGTGCATTAATTTTGTTGAACAACATAATTTTTAGACAGAATTTGGAAGTCTATTTTTTGTAGTGCTAAAACGATCAATTTTAGAAATTCTACATTAATAAGAAATTAATATCCAATTAGAGCACACAAATAAACATACATCATATATTCGGAAAAAATATTCACATGATTTATGTCGTACAAAAAATCTTTCGATTATTTTAATTTAATGCCTTTCTTCACGCCTGCTTTGATACCAGAGATCTCTCCTGAATAACGAGTCAATTCCTTTCTCACTTCTCTCACCTGGAAAAAAATTTTTTTTAAGTTTCGCATAAAACATTTCCAAGAGGTCTTGCATGTGTAGATAACAATAAACGTTTAACCCTCCGTGCACCAGGAAAAAATCATGCCGAACCATGTGGGGTATCTAATACCCCATGTTATTACACTTTACTTTTATACTAATTTAATACAATAATTTCGACTGTCATAATTCTTGTTCACTAAGATATAAGAATAAAACAAAATAATAAGCTCATTAATCTTTTGAAACAAGAAAATAAAAATAATACTATTTCTTACGAACTAAATTTAGGCAGTTTAATTTTCCTGAGGTATGTCGCACGCCACCTAGCGCATAGAGGGGGTTAATCTTTGTGCTCCATACGTACCGCGCCCTTTCTGCGAATCTTGGCTTTACGATATTTGTTTCTATGCTTCACCCGCGGATTGCGCAGCTCCTTTTTGCGATACGGCGTGAGACCTCTGTTCTTCGCCATTTGATACGTTATTGCTCTCTTCGCCTCTTCCTCGTTCATATGCAGAATGTCGTTATTTTTCTCATCAGTTACAAATTTGCCATCGTACTTCTCGTCATCTAGATCCTCATCCATGCTCGTTTCTTCATCCATACTGTCGGACAACAATCGCTTCTCTCGCATTACCGTTTCTTTTTTGCCGGACAGCTTCTTAGTCAAGCCAGCAAATCTCGGAGTTTTCTTCTTACTACTTTGCAGCTGAGAACCGTCCGATATGCTGTAAAGAGGCCTGCCCTCCTTAACTGCTCTCAGTATCTCTGTTACCTGCTCCAACAAGTCTCCCTGTTCCGACTGCAATTCGTCGAGCAGCTGACGGTATTGCTCCAGACGCTTCACAACTGGATGCGATTTTATCGGCAGCTCCTTGATCCTCAGCATTAAGCAAAACGAGATGTTTGTACAATAATTTAACATGACCTCGTACTTGGTTCTGATGAAGGTTACCGCATTGCATTCGGGACACGTTCCATCCTTGACCAATTCAAGGAATGGTGCCAAAACATCCTTTGCTTCTGTCATGCATTCTGCAATAAAAACGATTATTTATTTAATAATAATAAATACTTTTAATGCTGTTAATGTCGTTAACGTTTTCGTTTATAAAATGGTACATAAAAAAAATATAATTTTTATTTATGAGACCAAAAGAAGTATGAAATCTGGAGCTTTGTTCAAAATGTGTCAAAAATAGAAATTCCAATTAATCGCTATATTATAAATATAATTAGCAATAAATTAATAATAAATGATAAAGAGCATGCCTTTAATATCGTTAGATAAGTACCTTTAAAAGTATTGACCAAGATCATAAAAGATTCCTTGTCAGACACCTGTTTGCTGTCCTCTTGAACAACTTTGCTGTCCTCTATGATTTGAGTTGCTTTATTTTTAATTAAATTCGAAACATCAAGAGCCAAATGCTGTCCCATTGATCTTAAATGCAGCCTTTTTCCTTCCTGCTCCTCCATTTCTGCATTGGCCAAGTCTTTTTGAGGTGCCGAGGCATAATCTGTATATTTAAAGTCTGACGAGTAAAAAGCTTTTGTTTTGCTGCCCCAAGCCCTATCGTTCGGCAAATCGTCATCCTCCTGCATCCCTTCGATGTCAGATTCCATCGAATCTTGCCGATCATCTTCCTCCTCCTCGCTGCCATCTCGCAGCCCATAAACTTCGTCGTCACTATCGAAATTTTCAGTGGTCCGCTGCTTCCGTACTTTCTCCAGCAATTTCTTCTCAGTCTCTGTATATTCTTCTTCCGAATCGGTCACAGCATTCATATCCACGTCCTCGATATCGTCTTCCACATCATCAATGTCCTCATTATTGAGAGGCTTTCTTGTTCTAACATGGAGAGAAATAATTTAAAGTTATTATTTTCATAAAATAACACAGGAAAAACATGCAATCAAAAAGTATCTAAAGTATCTTGACATGTAAAACTTTAAAAATGTTAATATTATAAAAAAATAAAATTTATCTACTTGTTCTATACTTGGAGGAGTTGACTTAATTAATATCGTACTCGACATTTATTATTAGAAGTTATATCAAATTTTGTCAAAGATTATAGTTATCTTTTCTTAGTTTAATTGATTTAATACATTTTTTTAGCTGTTACCTTTTTTTTCGAACCATATTTACGAGTAAATATAATAGTGCTTCGAAGAAATGTAAATAGTTCTCACATGTTGTATTTACAACTTAACCTTAAAATAACTTAACCAGAAATTAGTCATAAGCAAGAAGTGCAATCGTAACGTAAGATTAGAGACCCTCAATCAGAGTCAAGCCATACGATATCCAATTTTGATTGGTCTTCAAGATTGGATCTATTCCCGCTCATATTTGAATTACTAACCTTAGATTTTTAATCACTAACCTTACCATTAACATAAGCGTTAATATTTCAGCACTACAAATAAAAATAAATGTTGTGGAAGAAATGAATATTGTAATCATTTTATGTACAACATTAAAATAATATATATAATAAGAAATTCCTTACATTTAATGTTTATTTTATGATAAGGATTAATAAAATAAAATCAATTTAAAGAAAAGTAAACATAAAATATAAATTTAAATATTTTTTATATAATTGTTTGTATTAATTACAATGCTTTTTGTATTAAAATTTTAAATCATACAATATTAATTATATTTGTCTTATATATTGCATAACTTGTATGAAAATATTATATAACACATTAATAAAAATACTTTTTGCATCATAAAAAAATTAAAACAATATGCACAGATAGTTTTGCGTAACGCATAACTTCAACAAAAATAAAATAAAGTACATTTTATCATAAAAGAATTAAGAAAACATAGCATATATATAGTTACAGATTTACTGTCATAAATATTTGATTACGTACAGTGCTTTTTTTATTATAAATTCTTAATCTAAATACTACAAATTTTCTTATAATTTTTAAATATATGTCATGACAATTCAAAATATGACTAGCATAAACTTTTGCAAATTGTGTACTTAAAAATAATTTCCAATTAACGTTTTGAAAATCATTAAAAAATTTGCTATAATAGCAAAACATTTGTTCTAATGTTATAAACATTTTAAATGTGTTGATGTTAACAAAACATAAAGAATTTGTAGTGTAACATTTTAATTGTATACATATTTTATAAATGAAAAACGCAATGGAATTGGCGATTTTATCGATTATATACATTTATTGCATGTACGTGTACATGTTTTAATAATAGATGTTATATAATGTTATACTCCAATTTAAAATATTCTTTTTTATACTGTTATCTCTTTAATTTTTTGTGGTTATATTTTTCTTTCTATATTGTAACCTACCAAAACTCTTTTTTTTTTTTTAAAAGAAAAAGGTTACGCCACGTATATAAAAAAGTATCATACGTTACATCCTTCCTAAACCAAAAATATTATTTTAACAAATAAAAATTGTCCAAAAACAAGTTACCAAAAAGTAGTGAGATCTCACCAAAATTCTTTTTTTAAAAAAAAGAAAAAGATTACGCCAAGTATATAAAAAAGTATCGTACGTTACATCCTTCCTAAACCAAAAATATTATTTTAACAAAAGATCGGAAGAGCACAC